AGAGCTAAGAAATTTTACATTTATTGGGAAATATATTCTATAACATATAGTATATTCAAACCAGAACAATATTTTTTCTCTGTGTATTTTATATGTATAAAGATTATTTAAGTCATACTAATTAACAGATAATAAGATTTCAGTTCATTGTAATAAACTCTCAGATACATATTTCAATGTATATTTCATTACATACACATATGTGTACGTTTAAATAAATAATAATCATTATGTTCTGGCTTTTTTTCTCTCAAGAAAATTCTAAGTAAGATGGATATTTATCAAGCAAGTAATAAAAGACTTTGTCTTATTAAGATATGAAAGTTCTGAAGAGGGACACCACTACATAAGGAAATTGTTCAAAATTCCCACTACATAGGAAAAATTAAATTCAAAAATTAAATCCTGTTTTTCTGAAATGCTTTTCTTTATTCTCTCTTTTATCTTTGTTGAGGTAACAAAATGATTTATCTGTCACTATAGTGTCAGTCTTTATTAGATATATTAAATAATCTCCAGGACTAGGCCCCTTGCTTTTCCCATGTGAACTTTTAAAGTTTTCTTTTTACTTACAAAACTCAAAGCTTATAAAATGTAAATTTATATAGAATTACACTGTTTTATTTGCCACAAGCTTTAAGTTGATTCCACTCAATTTAGAAAAATGTATCTGGTCATGGTCATAGTCACCTTTTAACTCTTCAGTTTTGTATATATAACTGTAGGCATGTATGCATATATTTGCATAAATAGAAATAAAATGTGTATATGTGTATGAATTAATGTGCATATATGTAAATATACATACAGGTAGACATTAAAAATAAAATATCTTTAAGACAATGTGATAGACTTGTATTTTTTATAAGCTATTTTAAGTTGCATTTAATGCAAAAATCAAACCATAATTAACATGCTCTTTGTTCTACTTGAACACCTCTGCCCATTCACTTATTCTCCTTGTATAAATTCCCCCTGGAATTCCTGAAATCAGAATCATTGCTTTGGCACCAAAAGCCCAGAGATTATGAGCTCATGATTTCTTGAATCTGTCTGCTCCTGGATATGTGTATGTGTGTGTGTTCTATGTCCTAGAATTCAAACAATGTTGCTTATTAAGAGGTATCACAATGTGATGTACCTGTCAGGGGTAGATCTTTACTTCAGGCTTGCAAAGTGTTTTCTTGAAATCTATTCTGAGTCTGATGCTATTGTTTCCAACTCAAGTTAGGAGTAGGGGCTGAAGGCAAGGCCTTATTAGCTGGATAACTAGGGAGTGAGGTCAGTCATTTAATGCGGAGAAATAGAAGAGAATGGTTGGGATAGAATGATGAAGAATTTCAGAGATGTGTGACAACTCAGAAATCACAGGGTATGCTGCAATGTTAGTCCAGTGAAAAAGTCCTCATTTGAGTAAGAGAGGGGTTTCTCTTTTTTTTTTAGATGGAGTCTCTCTTTGTTGCCCAGGCTGGAGTGCAGGGGCACAATCTCGGCTCACCACAACCTCCACCTCCTGGGTTCAAGTGATTCTCCTGCCTTAGCCTCCTGGGTAGCAGGGACTACAGGCATATGCCACCATGCCGGGGTCTAATTTTTGTATTTTTAGTAGAGACAGGGTTTCACTATGTTGGCCAAGCTGGTCTTGAATGAGTAGGAGAGGCTTTTTTTTTGCCTGAATGTACACAATCACCATTGACTGCATTCTGCTGAAGTCATGATGAAGCCAATCATGAAGGAAAAAGGCCAGAGCAGGGGGAAGTGGGGGACACAATCCAATCCTCCTGATAAAACCATATGATTAACAAGCTGAGTGGTCTTTGAAAGTTCATAATAGTCACACAAAGCAAAAAAAAATGTGTTACAGTGGAAGTTTGACCTATATATTCTTCTATATTAATGCCAGATCACCATGATTCAAAAACAAAAGATTGTGAATTTACAGTTAGTAATTCATAAGAAAATAGATAAGGAGATAAGTGTAGTGTCTACTACACCTTAAGCTATATGAAAGCAGAGCCACTGTAGCCCCAAAGCCTAATTCAAGGGTGACACAGGAGATGCTCAGCAGATATTTAGAGACTGGCTGGGTAGGTAAGTGAATGAATAGATAGACTTGAATCTTAATAATTAGGAGATTAAACCATTTGTGCATATATTAAGGTTATTCAAGCCTTATTAGCAAATAACAATGTTGAATATGTTAGTGTAGTGTAATTAAACATTATGGCTTTTCTGGGTCAAAAACAGTTATATTTGGGAAATTTCATATGGCTCAACTTTATTGGAGTAAGCATAAAATATATCATTAAATACTGAAGTGTATTCATTATTTTAAATATTTAAAATAATAATTCTTATAGCAGTGATGATAGGTACCTTTAAAACCATCCATAATTTTACCACCCTCACATCCATCAATTTCATTTATCTCTTTCTTCATAGTCTATATGTAATTTTAAAGCTGTCTTTATTCTAATACTAACAAAACATGGAACTGAACATTAATCAGGCATGTTTCAAAAACTAGTAATTCAGCCCCAGTAACTTAGCTGTCTCATTTTATCTAAAAAAAGAATTTATCTTAAACAAATTTGCTAATTGCAAATCAGCTCTGATAACAGGCACAGCTTATGTTAAGTGAAAATTTTACTTTCCCTATTTCAATACAGCATAAGACCACACAAGTGAAAATTATCTAAGTATAATACATTGTTTCTTTCTAATATGTATTGTATTTAATCAGACATATATTTACCTCTCCTTAAATTGCAGACACACAGATGAATGATTCTCACCCAGAAACAAACATGCCAATTGGGTATCCGCCTCAGTATCCACCAACAGCATTCCAAGGTAAAGTAGTTGATTAAAGAAGAAAAAGTAAAATTAGTCAATTAATATTCCAGAGAGAGAGAAAATTGTGCATGTGTTTTTATTTTAGTCTTTCTTTTTAAAATATTATATTGATGAAATTTTGGTAGTCTCACTGTTCTTGATTATTTTTATTTGCCTATACATTTTCCTTAGAAGTAATTTTTACTTATAGAGGACAGTAAAGGTATAAAGAAAGCTAGTAAAAACAGTATTATGTTTACATTTAGCAAATGAAATACAAGATTGTACATCTCTAACTACAAATGTTAAGTTAAATATTTTATTGATTCTCCATCTGTTCTGAAAATTATGATCATTTAATCACATTTAGGAAATTTATTCCTGATAAATTGAGCCATGTAGTAGCTTGGAAAATGTTCAGTGAGAGTCATATCAAAACAGTAAGACTGCTTGAAAGGTCTTAAAAGAAATTCAGTTACCTGGGACTAATTATCATTTTAATTTTATAATATATATGAAATCTTTATTTTTGTATATATGCTGATTCATCCTTGTATTTCTAAGAAAAGTAATTGTATCATTTCACTACATACATAATTGAGTACATTTTTTTCTTTTTAACCAATACTTGAAATAATTCAGAGATTTTCATGTAGACAAATGCAGTTATCAAAACTACTAGAACTTTAAAAATAGCAAAGTCCATGGCATGGCCAGATTTATAAGTAGGCAGGCTATCCACATCTTGAAAGAGCATCGTGGGAATTTAGGATCAAAGGGAATGTGGTTTGGATGAAAGGGTGTACCAATTGTGTTTTCTTCTCTGAGTAAACAAATGTGCTTAGGAGCTGAATGTCGTGTTTAACTGCCTAGCAAGAAACCTCCCTGTGGGTCCCAGATTTCATCCAGATGTTTGCAACTAAAAGAATATGTGCTAGATAAGCTCAAAGACTCTAAGGTGGTGGCTCACAACCATGGCTGCGCTGAAGTTTCACCCAGAAGCACTTAAAAATACCAGTGGCAGGGTGCTATTCCAGAAAGATTAAATCAGAACTTCTGGTGGTGGGACTCAAGGAATGGTAATTTTTTGACTCCCCAAGTGATTCTAATGTGAAGCCAGGATTGAGAACCTCTGCTATAAATTCTTATAGAGCTGGTGTTTGGAAAATCAATAGCAAGTCTATAATATTCATCCAAGGCACTTAAGAGAATGGTGTAATCCACCTAATCACTAATTAAAAGTAGATATACATAAATAATACAGTTTGGATATAATCAGACCGAAGAGTTTGCATATATATATATATAGAGAGAGAGGCATACAGCTTGATTTTGTTTTTCAAGTCCAAGATTATATATAGCACAGGTATTAAGATAACAATGATGCTAACAGTAGGATAATTTAAAATTGAGAGCTTACTGTGCTTTAGTCATTGTTTTAAATGTGGAGTTAATAGGGATTAATACATTTAATTCTCAGAATACTCTTATGAGGTAGATATTATTAATTATCCCCATTATGTATGTGGGAAAGCTGAGGCATAGGCAATTTGGATCAGGCTTCAAGTTCTGCCTGCTTTTTTTTTTTTTTTTTGAGACAGTCTTGCTCTGTTGCCCAGGCTGGAGTGCAATGGTGGGATCTCTGCAACCTCTACTTCCCAGGTTCAAGCAATTCTCCTGCCTCAGCCTCTCAAGTAGCTGGGATTACAGGCATGTGCCAACATGCCTGGCTAATTTTTGTATCTTTTTTAGTAGAAACGGGTTTCACCATGTTGGTCCGGCTGATTTTGACCTTGTGATTCAACCGCCTTGGCCTCTCAAAATGCTGAGATTGTAGGAGTGAGCTACCACACCCAGCCCTGCCTGCTTTTAAAAAATAAAAATTTGTATAGGTAAATGTGCTGGTAAACCAGTTCTGCCTTCTGTACTAATAGTTATATGGTAGTCTTAAACAAGCTGCAGTACCCTGAAGCCTCAATGTTCTTATCTATAAATGAGGGTGTTATTTTCAATTTTGCTTGCTCTGTGGAGTAAATGAAAGTATGTGTAAAACACTGAGAACAATGCTTGCAAATAATAAATGACAAGTATTTGCTAACATATTTAAAATATTTTAAAAATCAATTAGTCTTTACATAAATTATACTAGTACTCAAATTTAAGGTAATTCTTTGCGCTTAATTCATTGATTTAAGGAGTAATCAATCATATTTTCATAGTCTGGGGAAAGTTATGATGACGTTATAAATGTAAGAAATTAAATCACATCCCCCCACCCGCCGCCAACCAAAAAAAAAAGAAATTAAATCACATTTCCACATCCCCACTGGTCTGCCTATGGTCTGGTTTCTGCGCTGATGCCAGTGATCTTTAAAAATGTGAATCTGCTCATATTACAGAGCGTGTTTAGCTCCTATTTTATTAGTGTCCTATTACTTTTAGGATAAAGGCTAACACTAGACCCAAGATGACCTTTTTCCTGATCTCTCTTTAGCTTCCTCTTTAGCCTGGCTCACTACTGCTCAGCTAGACTGGCTATTTTTCAGATTTTTAAAGGCCTGTGTCTGTTACTGTCCCAGAACTCTGCTCTGAAATGTTCTTTCTGTGACTCTGGCCTCCTGAACTCCTATGCATCCTTCAGATTTCAGCATAAAGGTGACCCCTCAGGGCAGCTGTTGTACTCCTTCCCCTTTTCTCTTCCCATCTCAATAACGACCTTCGGCATCTCTAGTGATAGAACTGTGGTCTCTTACTTGAAAGCATTTGTCTCCGATTCTAATTAATAAATTAATTACACTGGCATTATAGCTCCCTAGAATAAATGGGGATATAAAGTTGTCTCTCCCATTAAACAATGATGGGCAGGGATTGCATCTGTGTTTTCCATTGTAAATTCCAATGCTTTTGTACTCCTGAAAATTTTGTAAGATATAAATAAGACCATGGAACTCATTCTTCTGCTTAAAATCCTCCAGTATGAGCTTATCATAACTGGAACAAAAGCCAGACTCCTTACTAAGGGCCTCCTTAGATGAACAGCTTCCTATTGCTTTGCCAACAGCCATTTCTAGTCATTTTCTTTCTTGTGACATTCCTCTCTCTTTTACAAGCATGTCAAATTCATTACAAAGTCAGAGGTATTCTATTTGCCTTTCTTTCCTCCTAAAGCATTTCTCACTAGATCTTCGTATAAAGCTTTTATCTCTTCATCTTTTAGATCTTGATGTAAATTATATTTACCTACAGTAACTGCCTCATGCCCTGCCCTCCTCCACATACATTCTCTCCATCACATCCATATGAAATTTTTTTTTGTTTTAAATGTCTTTTCTTTCTCCCAGAGTTTGACTGTGAGCTCTCTGACAGCAGGATACCTCGAGAGTTGTCTCCTCATATTCTTCAACACAGCCAATTACATTATGGATCACTTGTAAATATTCATTCATCATAGAAGGAATAAATTATAAAAGCGATATTTACAATGCATTGTGATGTTTAATCTGTTTTTCTAAGCCTTATTTTTTAAAGGCAAATGAATTTTGTCATAAATGTTTCATTTAAAAGAATTTATAAATTTCCTATTCTAAGTATTACATTTTGCATAGGCATTAATGTTACAATATTGAGAAGCACAGTCCTTTGAAATTATATTCCACTACTATAAAATTGCTACTTTGTGGACCATAAAAATAAGTACATAAAGCTTCATTGTGATCACACATTCACAGAGAATATAAAGTGCACTTACACTTATTAAATTTCTGAATCTTACAGTTGTCGTCCTTGTTTCTCAAATTATATTTTCCAAAGACCAAAGAATGTTAAATTGTGAAATTTAAATTTCTAACGTAAATATTATAATGAAATTTTATTTTAACGAGGAAGGCTTAGGAAAGCAATACACTATGGATTAAAACATAAGGCAAAGGGTTAACCAAAGCAGGTATCTGGAATGTCCTAAAAGAAATGACATGCTTTCACCTTCATATCTCAACAGTGGCACTATAGTATTTGGGGCTAGACAATTCTTCATTTTTAGGGAGCTGTTCTGGGCCTTTTAAGATGTGTAGCCGCAAGCCCTGGCCTCTACCACCAGATGCAGTATTATCTTCCTCTCCAGTTGTGACCCCCAAAAAAGTCTGCAGATCTTGTCAAATATCCCTGGAAGAGGGGGGCAAAACTACCCCCCAGTTCTACACATATATAAGTCATTTGCTAGAATTTCAGAATTATCATTTTTCGTAGGATACTTTGGCCCTAGAAATGCTGACTCAAAGCCATTATTTTGGGCCATCTACCTAATGCCATGTCTCTTTCTCTTGAAGGCTTGCTGGAATCTTTATGCAGGTGACTCTAGATTGTGGTTATTTACTTTGATTTTTCTCAGATATTAAAGCATATTTTCCATTTGAGTTTTGAATGGTAAGGGTGAGGCTATTTACAGCCTACTAACCCAAAATAGAAAATGGTTGTGCAACCACAGACATTTCATTGAAAATTCTCAGAAAGATAAAAGCATATCTTGAACATCACAGATACAGATTTCTATGCTGAAATGTCAACATATAGATAGATGGGTTAACCGTAAAACGCTTGATGATTCCATTTTTGGTGCAGTTATATATCATTTCACTTTTTTGTATTTCAGGACCTCCAGGATATGCTGGCTACCCTGGGCCCCAGGTCGGCTACCCACCCCCACCAGCTGGCCATCCAGGTCCTGGGCCAGCTGGCTTTCCTGTCCCAAATCAGCCAGTGTATAATCAGCCAGGTGGAGCTGCAGGGGTACCATGGATGCCAGCACCACCGACTCCATTAAACTGCCCACCTGGATTAGAATATTTAAGTCAGGTAACTTGAAGGACACAACGTACTCATAAAAAAACAGAACTGTGCTTCCAGCTCGATTAACCAGATTAACAAATGAATAATTCACCAAAGTCTGAAATGGCAAAACTACATTTTCTGCTAACAGTTTACTCTAATTCTTTTAGGACAGGTTCAATTTTAAAGCAAAATACAAATGCTTTAGAAAATAGTATTTTCTGTGATCTTAAATACAATCTGTAATAATAGCTAATAGCAAACATTTAGTTAGTACTGTTTTCCTGTTTTTGTCGTATACATTATCCATGTATTAACTCATTTAATCCTTACAGGAAATTTGTGATATATAATGCTACAGTTAGTTCCATTTTTCAAAAGAGGAAACTGAGGTCCAGAGAATTTATATCACTTACTCTGGGGTGAGAACCTAAAGAGTTGAGAAGAGTTTTTCAATCCAGAAACTTTGGTACTGGGCATGGTGCTCTTTAATCTCAATACTGAATAATTGTCTTATAATTTGAAATAAAATTTAAATAAAGTTTATTGTTGAGTTTCAATAAGTGGCACCAAACAAGGGGTTAATATTTTATGTGTAATATGACTCACTTTTTTATTGTAACTAATAAAACTACATTTTTATTATGCTGCTTTTGTTTTCTGGAAGATCCAATTTTATAAATGCCATTAATAAAGGAGTAAAAAGTCCTGGATTTTGTTTCACTAAATTATAATTAGTCTCAGCAATAAGAGGTTTAACATTTATGTGGTGTTAGAAATCAAGTAGGTCAAATAGAAACAAGAAGCTCTGTGTGTTCAGTCTATACACATATAAACAAATATTCTTGTGATATTCAACCAGTTTTCATTTCATGAATCATTTCTTTCTTGCACTGTGTTTAGTAACTTAGTTTCCCATAATGCACTTAAGTGGCACAATCATATAAATTTTTGGTCATTATTATATTATGCAGGAAATATATAGAAATAGGCATTTTAAAAATCAGGATCTCATAAAATACATAAAGGATGTTATCACATATGACAAAGGTTGATATTAAGTATGCTTAATACAAATTTGAAACATGTAGAAAACCTCTTTGATGGCTAAAAAAGTTATCAATATTTCTTGAGCCTCTTCCAGAAGGAAGATTGTTATCTACTTTTAAAATTATTTGACACATAATACTTGCACATATTTATGGAGTACAGTGTGGCACTTTAATGCACATATATGATATGTAATGATAAAATAAGGGTAATTAGCATATCTATCACTTTCAGCATTTTATCATTTCATAGTGTTGAGAACATTCCAAATCCTCTCTTATAGCTATTTGAAAATATACAATAAATTATTGCTAATTATAGGCAGCCTACATTGCTATAGAACACTAGAATTTATTCCTCCTATCTAGCCATAACCTTGTATTCATTAATCAACTTCTCTTTATACCTCTCCTCCCTACCCTTCAGTTTCTAGTAACCACTGTTCTATTCTACTTCTATGAGATCAATTTTTTTAAGCTTCCATGTATGAGTGAGAACATTCAGTATTTTTTTTTTCTGTACCTGGCTTATTTCACTTAACGTAATGTCCCTCAGGCTCACCATGTTGCTGCCAGTGACAGGATTTCATTCATTTTTATGGCTGACTTTTATTCCATTGTGTGTATTAAGAATGAATTTTTCAGCTGGTCATGTCTGTAATCTCAGCGCTTTGGGAGGTCGAGGTGGATGGATCATGAGGTCAGGTATTCGCGACCAGCCTGCCAACGCAGTGAAACCCCATCTCTAACAAAATTAGAAAAAAGTGGCAGGCACCTGTAATCCCAGCTACTTGGTAGGCTGAGGCAGAGAATCACTTGAACCTAGGAGGCAGAGGTTGCAGTGAGTTGAGATCATGCCACTTCACTCCAGCCTGGGCGACAGAGTGAGATTCCATATCAAAAAAAAAAAAAAAAAGAATTTTTCTTTATTCATTTATCTATTGATGAACACTTAGGTTGATTCTACATGTTGACTCCTAGTGCTGTAAAAAGCATGACAGTGCAGATACCCCTTTGACACATAGATTTCCTTTCCTTTGAAATTTTTGTTTTGAAAATTTTGGAAAAATTTGAAAAAATACTGTTTTGAAAAAAACAGTAGTGGGATTGCTGAATAATTTGGTAGCTGTAATTTTAGTTTTTGAGGAAGTACTACATAATGGCTGTCCTAATTTACTTTCTCACCAAATTTCCCCTGCTCCACATTTTCACCAATATTTGTTAGTTTTTGTCTTTTTGATAATAGCCATTCTTAATTGGGCAACAATATAGTATTTCATTGTGGTTTGGATTTGCATTTCCCTGGTGATTAGTGATGTTGAGCATTTTTTCATAAAAGTACCGAGCATTTGTATCAATTTTCTAGTTTTTAAAGTTAGTCCAGTGTAAATCAATTTTATTTGATCTAAATTTTCACACATTAATTGTGAACACAATAAATATTTTATTAAAAATATTAACTTGTTTTACACTAAAAAGTAATATAAGCTATTAAATATTGATAATTGATTACATGTACTTTAAAAATATAAATACATGAATTTTAATTTGGTTGGCTTAAAAAAACCTTCACTTGACAAATACTTACCACTTTTTTTTTCCTGTAATAGATAGATCAGATACTGATTCATCAACAAATTGAACTTCTGGAAGGTAGGTGTTCATTGTATTAATCCCATTTCTAAAAAGAATAGAAGTTTATGCAGATAAACAAACATCAAATTTCACAAATATAACACTCTCACTTTTATGGGAGAGTTAAACTGGTTATTTACTATAACAAAATAATAAACATCAGCAATTCATTTCTAAAATTTAAGAATCGAAAAGTAAAATGCCATTATGCTGGGCACTTTCCTCAGGATATTGACACTAATTTAGAAGGAAAATAGTCAAAACCTTTATTTTGCTCCTCTCTTCATACATCACTTTTTATCTGGCTTCTACTGCTTAAACTGTTTTTTCTGTAATTGTGATCAAGTTCAGAATGGCACAGAGTCATATTCCAAAGTAAGTTATCTTTTTTGTTTGGATGAGAAAGTTTTGGGAAATTATCATTTGTTCCCACAGTTTCTTTTGAAAGCTAAGATGAGCCCTAGAAAATCTTTGTACACCAGTTTGGATGCAGGGCACTGCAGCATTGGAGGATGCTGACCAACTAGCCTGCAGGCTTGGCTTCATAGAAGAGCACTCCTGCTCCTGCTGAATGGCCTCACATTTCCTTGCGTCCAGGACTCCTTAGGTGCAAGAATAAACTTAGGAAGCCAATTAATGTTTTACAATGGCTCCCAGGGGAAGAAGACCCTGGGTAGATTTATGAACCATAGTGTTTTCCTTCTAGATATAAGGTTTAATAAAAACTCTAAAAGTTTTTAGGAGTATGTCTGTTAAATTCATTTTCACCTGTCTCCAAGTTTCTTTCCACTGGGAAAAATTAGTACATGAATTGTACAAGCAGAATAATGGATTTGGCTAAAATATACAATTGTCATCTATTACATTTAAGTTATTTATAATGCACATTATTAGATAATGACAATTTATCTGATTTTTTTTTTTTTAATCTAAACAAAGCTGTCTCTGGAAGAGAGTTTTGTATTCTGAATTTTTTAATGTTTTATGGTATATATTATTAAGGCTATAAAATCCAAACAGATATATAACCAAACATTACACAGCCCAGTATTTATCTTTTTTTGTAGATTTATAGGCTTTATAAATATTTGTTAATTATGAAATATAAAGTTCCAAATCTACTAGTTTCTAATTTTGCTTTTTTCAAAAAAGAAATGTCTCTAGTTTTTGTTTCTTTTTCTCCAAAATTGAAAGTCTATGTTATTTTTTCTTATTATGAGTGACATAAAAAAGATGAAAATTACTCAGATTTTTAGCATCTGAGCATAAAATAGGCATTTACTTTTTTTCTCAATTCAAAACACAAAAGATAGTAAAGACATAATCAGAATTTGTTTATCTGTTTACATTTTTAAATAAATGAAAAAAATTTAAAGGTTATATAAGCCAATGTTGTTTTACAAATAAGCTGGAGATTTTTGAGATTAAGCTACTTAATGAAACAATTAATTAGATAATAAATGCCTCTCAAAATGAGTTTAATTTTTTTCTCACCAAACATTTGACTATTTCAGATGTTGAAATCAGGGGTGGTTCTTTTAAGTGCAGACTACAGGGCCTGTTTGTGTCCCACCAAGGACACCTAAAGGAGTTCATGGCGTTAAGACTTGTGAAGGCCATCTTTATCCCACTAAAAGTCTTTCTACTTAGGCATTATACAGCGACTTTGCCTCCATATATTTTTTTTAATCTCTCATCATTTTATTCAGGCTTCTGACATCTATGACCCCAGTTACTGAGGGCTATGTACAAGTGGGACAGTTATTGCTGCTTTCTGACTTTCGATAGGGAGAGGTTTCCAATGTATGGTTTAATATAGAAAGCCCTTGATAAAAAAGCATGTGGGTGTCAGCATTTTGAGTCATCTGTTTCCCTTATGAAAAGATTAGCCCATCTAAGTGCCGAGTTCACGTAGGATGCCCATGGTCTAGATATTCTGTGAGTGGAAGTCTTGGTTGCTAAACACCCTTTTTCTAATACCCACCTCCCACTTCTGAACAACTACTGCTAAGCTGAATAAAATGCCCTGGGTCCAGTGTGACATTCTAATTCGCTTTCCATTTTCACTCCATCAGTTTTTATGCACGTGTGTTGCCTTCTTTCAACAACATTGCAAAAAAAATAAGACATAAGTATAGTTTACAAGACTTAATATAAAATTGACTTAATATAAAATTTCACAGTGTGTAAACAGCAATCCTCTTATATTCGCCTCCACATTACACAAAAACTACCAGGCATTAGTGGACATTTTATCTATACGCCGAGCACCACTGTGACTACCCGCAGCATTTTCCCAACCCTCAGCAGCAAAGTCTCTCTTCGTTTGTAGAATTAGGAAGATATAACTTATAAGGGCCTAATTTCTCTATAAATAATTTTTCCTTCTTTTCTTTTGCCATTTTTCTCTGCCTGGATCACCTCTAAACATCATTTCTTCTCCTTCTCCTTATGCCACCGGAGTATCATCTAAAACTGGTATAGCTAGATGTTATAACACCTCAGGATAAATTCAGTATCTTTAACATAGGTGATTATGACTTTGTCTTTTATGTTTTTAGTCTTAACAGGTTTTGAAACTAATAACAAATATGAAATTAAGAACAGCTTTGGACAGAGGGTTTACTTTGCAGTGGAAGATACTGATTGCTGTACCCGAAATTGCTGTGGGCCATCTAGGCCTTTTACCTTGAGGATTATTGATAATATGGGTCAAGAAGTCATGACTCTGGAGAGACCACTAAGATGTAGCAGCTGTTGTTATCCCTGCTGCCTTCAGGAGGTCTGTGAGCAATTACCAGGGCACTTTGTAAAATAATTCAGCAAGAATTTCTATCGTTTCATTGAACCTAGGCATTATGATTATTATTACATTTACACATATTATTTTGCCTTTGTAGATAGAAATCCAAGCTCCTCCTGGTGTACCAGTAGGTTATGTTATTCAGACCTGGCACCCATGTCTACCAAAGTTTACAATTCAAAATGAGAAAAGAGAGGATGTACTAAAAATAAGTGGTCCATGTGTTGTGTGCAGCTGTTGTGGAGATGTTGATTTTGAGGTAAGAGACGTCATAATGTTTATAGGATTTGTTTTCCTAATATGAGAAGAATGTAATTTTGCAGGATGTTATAAATGCATTAAATAAGTACTGTGTGCCAATGTCTCAATAGCAAGGGAATATTCTAATATATTTAACTTTGGTTAGCATGGTAGTTATCACTCTAATTAAAGGTCAGTCTTGGTCATGATACACGGAAAAAGAAACAGACCTGTGTAGTCAAATAAAAATAAGCAAATCATCTATTAAATATGGTGGTTTCTGTGTGGTTAGACATGGTGGTTTCTATGTAATGACATTGTATATTATCCTTTTTAAACAAAACGTTAACCTTGTCATCTAAGTCTGATTGCCAAAGCATATGGATTCTTCTTTAATCTGAAATATTAGCTGCCAGTGCTCAAGGCCATGTTCAGAAGATCTGACATCTTTGAATTCCTACAAGAAGTCCAATTATGCAAAGATAGTTTTGAGAAAATTAGTATAATATGTACTACCCAAATATGCTTCTCTGTGGTCTCTTCTTTTCCCTATATTAAATTAGGTCACCAGAAGCTGTAACATATGAATATTTGTATATTTACTGTAATACATTGTAGAATTTCATTAAAGTATTTATTCCACAACAGATGGTCTAAACTTATAATCTAATTTTTTCATTGCAAATGTTTAAAGATCAGAAGGTTTTATAACAATCTTGATTTCTTGTTTCTCTTGGAAAATTGGGTTAACTGTGCCTACCTTTCCACAGAAAGGACAAAAATCTACTAAAGATGTGTAAGGCTGCCCCTTGTAATAATGACACAGGAACTCTACCACTGTCTCCCCACTTACTGAGGTTTTTCAATAGCCAGTGTCATTCATTTACATGATCTGCCTGCCTTCTTTAATCATATGGTATTTGATTCCTCCATCAGATCTTAGCTATATAAAGATAAATCCTTTCCCTCATTAACTTCATAGTCTAATGACAGAGATTTGAAGTTTTAAGAAAACACATGTGATGTAGAAACTTTAAAAAGGCTCTTATAAAAGGATTTGTATAATGAGTATATGTATATGTGTGCATAATATGCATGTATAAAAATTTTATATAGGGGTATATATAATAGAAGTTCTTCATGTAGGGGATGGAATCTCTATCCTACATCCAGAGAAATGAAAAGTAATTGCTCATTCAAGGAACAATATTAAAAGAAGTTTAGCTATCATATATTTTATTTTTAGTAAATAAATAAAAACACTGCAAAGTCATTGTGTAATTCTTATGTTTGATGCTAAAGAATTTATGTTTCATCTAGCAATCTTAAAGCATCCATTCCATATAATAAATTAACATTTATTCCATTTATCTAGAATGATGATACCAAGGTACTGTTACGGAAAGAATTGAGAAATGTCACTTGAAGAATTTTCCATAGGGTTGACAGTGGAAATTCTGACACCTCAAAGCAGAAATTATACTAAGGAGCATGAAACCCACCAGGGCGTCACTGGGCATGGAAACTTGAAGTAATAAAAGAGATAAAAGCCTGTTCTGCAGCCAGGGCAGGAGTCATTCTAAAAAAAGAGAACTTTTTTTAGAATGAGACATTTCATAGGTTTACTATATGGAACTAATTCATGAATCTGATGTCATTTGAGGATGAAAAAAATTTTGGAGATGATGTGTTATTACTCTGATATTACCATTGGCCAAGTTAAGAATCTTGAAGGAAAAACACTTGATTTATGTCCTCTTTACCATTATGATAGTCTGCTTTTTAAAAAGTAAGGTATCCTTTGAACAGACATTTTACTAAAGAAATTGTAAATATGATGATATAGTTTGGCTGTGTCCCCACCCAAATCTCATATTGTAGTTCCCTTCCATGACTTGGTGGGAGGTAGTTTAATCATGGAGGCGGTTACTATCATGCTCTTCTTGTGATAGTGAGTGAGTTCTCACTAGATCTGATGGTTTTATAAAGGGCTTTTCCCTCTTTTGCTCGGCACTTCTTCTTGCCTGCTGCCATGTAAGACATGTCTTGCTTCCCCTTCACCTTCTGCCATGACTGTGAGGCCTCCCAGACACGTGGAACTTTGAGTCAATTAAACCTCTTTCCTTTAAGAATTACCCAGTCTCAAGTGTGTCTTTATTGGCACAGTGAGAACAGACTAATACATATGATATATGAGTATTTTAAAACATGCACAGTATTATTCGTCATTAGAAAAACGCAAGTTCAAACTACAATATAATGCCATTACAAAGTTGTCAGAATGGCAAAACAAAACAAATAAACAAAAAATTAAGGTATCAAATACTAATATACATCTAGGTCAGGGGTCAATAAAATATAATCAATGGGCTCTAGTGGATCATATAAAATATATACTGGAAGTTAACGACTTGCATTAAGGTTATATTGGATTTTAGTTATGTAGAGGAAAGGAATGGAGAGTTTGCAGCAAACAGATAGTAATTCTCAAGGTTATCTCAATGGTGAGTAAGAGAGAGCCTAGTAGACCTTCTATCCAGTATGAATGATAAAAGAGTCTGTCTCTTTCAAGGCAAACTCTTGGTAGGGGAAAATAATATGGCCACATGAAACTAACACACCAAATCTGTCCTGTCTATGAGCTTGAAATCTGAAATCCTACCACTGTTGTGTTTCAGGAATCTCAAAATATAGAAACTGATCCTGAGTGGTGATATATATTTTATGTGGTCCCACAGACTGTTTTATGCTGTCCTCTCAACTAGATTTTCACTAGTATTCCATAAATAAATTTCTAAAAAGCAGACTATCATAATGGTCAGGAGTACAGACTCTGCAGCCAAATGCCCAGGTTTGAAACCCATCCTCAAAATAGTTACCTGTGTGACCTTAAACAAATTATTTCACTTATCTTTGCTTTAGCTTTTTTTACATGAAAATCGGGTGCAGCAACAGTAAATAAATAAATCATTAGTAAGTAAGTAAAATAGCTTACCAACAACGATTAATATTATCATAGTACATTTTTTATATTATATTCCTTTGATACATACCTAGGTCCTATATGCTATTGTTATATTTCAGTCTTTTGCATTTATACTTGCATGTGAGATGAATCTATGGTTTTCTTTTTAGAATGCTTTTACCAATTAGTATTACATTAATGGATTTAAAAGGTTAACATTTATATAATACCAATTTCTTATATCCAAATGTTGAAATTTTATTATAGTGATTTTCTGTTTTAAAATGTCTACAATTTAGCTAAAAATTATCTAGTCCTGATGGTTTATTGGTTAAAGATCATTATTTGCATTTCTGATCCTTGCTATAAAAAATGTATTCTCAACTTCTTTAAATTTCTTGCTGTAATAATAATAAAGGGCAAATGTTAATATCTTTATCTGTGTAGTCTTGGATTTATAGTGGCTGGTAAGTTGTCAGCTGTGTTTTTCATTTTTAAAAAATTTCAGAATTAAAAAATAACACGAGTTGTCATCACTAGCTCCAAATGCTTTGATGACAGCTATTAGCAGAAAAATACTAACATGTAAAAGAAAGAATTTATATTAGTTAATTTTGCCAAAGTAGTGAAATACTACTACTAATGAAATATTACACATAATCCCTAAAACTCAGCAGCTTGCAACAAGCATTTATGCTCATGCTTATGGGTGTACAGGTCAACTGTGTTTCAGTGACGTATTTAGGTCCCACTGAGGCTGCATGTTAACCTTTGCTCCAGCTATGTTTGTTCTACGGCTGTAGCAGCAGCAGCTACCTGAGTCATGCTTTTCTAGTGGCTTATCACTGGAGATCATAAGCCAGGCCAAATCACTTAGCCAAGTTTAAGAACGCTACTCATGTCATATCTGCTAACACCCATTGGTCAAACAAGTAACATGGCCAAGGCTAATTATGAAGGAATAGGAAGTATACTGGGCCTACAGAAGGAGAAGGAATGAAATGAATATTTGATGAACAGTAATCTGTGCTATCAGTTTCATATTAGATGTTTATTTCAGGTATTTAACAAACTATCCACTTGTACTCAAATAAAATGAGTCAAGTGTTTTTAGATTCCCCACATTTATTTAGCTGGTCACATTCAGCCTGAGGCAAGTGCTTCAAAGAGTGTTGCTGACACTTGCAGTGCCTTGTGCACATTTTAAAAGCACACTCCTCCTCCGTTAACATAACTATATGTGTACATAGTTTAGTGAATTTCAGCTACGTTCAGTGCCCACCTGCCCTCCTAGAGGAGTTGCTTTAGTCTGAGGACAGTCCATTCAACTCTATATGATGGCCCTGGGCTTTTGTCAGGCAGAATTGTAAAATTAGAACATTTCTACTTTGGAGCTCATTTGTTCATACACTTTTCGTCTTTCATTACTCACACCCTGCTATTTATCCACTCTTAACCTCAACCCTTGACATGGTGCATTTCATCAAGTTATTTATTAGGTATTTGCCTTTACTCAAAACTGCTAATCTTTTCTAGGCTCTTACCATTTCATGTTTGGCAACTCACAGTGGGTGGTAATAAGCTTTTTCATCATATTTAATCTTTCAGTCTATGTAAACTATGCTTCTCCTAAAGCAGAAATCTAATGGGAGTTTTGTTCATTACATTCATGATGGCTTCCAGAATTGTCATCAAAGACACATTTCATATTTATATCCTTTTTTGCTTAAATTTTCTTTTGGGTCAATTCAAATAATTTTTTAATGTCTATATTAATAGAAAATGTTAAATATTTCAGAAAAACTACTTTCATATAATTTTTCTATACAATGAAATCGGGTTTTTTTTCATATATCTATAATAGATAAAGGAGCCTCAAGTTATCAAATGAGGGTTACATGTTCATTGTTACATATGGTCCATAGTTTTAATCCCATATTTGTTTCATCTGCAAATTTGAAGGTACTTTTGCTATAAGTTTTTAAAAAATATTTAATAATTCTTTTCAATTTAGATTAAATCTCTTGATGAACAAAATGTAGTTGGCAAAATTTCCAAGCACTGGACTGGAATTTTGAGAGAGGCATTTACAGACGCTGATAACTTTGGGATCCAATTCCCTTTAGATCTTGATGTTAAAATGAAAGCTGTAATGATTGGTGCCTGTTTCCTCATTGTAAGTCTGTTCTTATTAACCTTGATTATAGCTGGTTTCTCTAGGTTCACTCTGAAGTGATTCAGTAAAGTGTATATTTCAAAATGACATTTTAAAATCTGTAGATTTTAAACCAGGATTCCCATTTAATCCTAGCTCTGAAATTCTATTTGATCCTAACCCTCTGGAGTCACAGATGACTAATTTCTATCTGAAGAGTCTATGGATTTTCACATGGCAAGTGAGGGACTAAGGAGATGTACTAAGGCGATATTTTAGTCTCTCCTTAAATCAAGCATCTCCTGGATGCTTTGAGGAAGAGTTCAAAGTGTGTATATGTGGAAAAAATTTAGTGAAACAAGAAAACTTTACCATGACTCATAATAATTAAATTAAACTATCTAATATAGGAGTATGAACTACAATAAGAGTATACATTCACTCAAGTGTGTAGACCTAACTGCCAAATTACAGGAAATGATTGCATATACCAGTGATTCTGAAATTGTCTTCACATTAGAATCACCTAGGGACCTTTAAAAACTCCAAGTACTAGTCCATACCTCAGTTCAACTAAATCAGAAATTTCAAAGTTTGTATAGTGTTCCAGGTGACTCCAATATGCAGCCAAAGATGAGAATTATGGGGACAGAGAACATTTAGAGAGTAACATTTAGAGAAAAAGACCAGAAAATTAAATTCTTACAAGTATCAATAAATAAATAGAATTATAGAATTTAATTATTATTAAAATGGAAAGCTAAAGGTGGAACTTATATAATTATAGAGCTTTTCTATATTTACTTATTACAGTTAGTTTTTTAACAGATATGTTACTGTGTTTCACTAGATCCCTTAGCATTTCTGCATCTGATAATTGATCTCTGTTTTGTTGCTGAAAATTGATTTGTGTATTTTTGTATTTATCTAGGACTTCATGTTTTTTGAAAGCAGTGGCAACCAGGAACAAAGATCAGGAGTGTGGTAGTGGATTAGTGAAAGTCTCCTCAGAAAATCTGAATTCTGTATATTGATTGGGACTATCTAAACTCATACCTATATAAATTAAGCTGTAATGCCTGTAGCTCTGGTTGTAGACTTTTGCTTTGCAAATTATAGAGTTTATCTTCTGTATAACTGATTTATTAAGGCTTTTATGCATTTTTTTAATACTCACTGTGAATTTGAGAAAAAGGACATAGGAGTTTTTACAATTGTTAATGAAATTTCCTATGAAAAACTGCTTTGAATCATGATCTCTGATTGTTTTACTACCGAATATTAATTAATGCCTTATTAATTTTAATATAAATTATATTTTATTCTATTAAATCTAGTTACAATTTATTTCATGCCTAACTGATAATGTTATTTTACAAATGCCATATATTCAAAAAATTTCAAAGATAATTTATTATGTTCAAATAATATTCATTATGCATATTATCTTTAAAAAGTTAAATGTATTTTTTTTAATCTTCAGGAAATCATGCTACACTTAACTTCTCCTGGAAACTAATCTGTACCATAAATAATATGGTATTCATATTCACAAGATATTATTGTTATTAAAGAACAACATGATTCTCTCCCAAAGAAAGACACGTTTTAAACACTCCTTCACTGTAAAACTCTGGTATTATTATAACTTTTGAAAGTTAATATTTAAACATGGAATGTTTAGCTCTTATACTCTATCCTTCCTAAAAAATGGTAATTGAAATTATTCAGATGTTAAATATAACATATGTATTCACAGAGTATAAACCTAAATAATGACCTATTAGATTATTTATACCAATAATAAAATATTTGAAAAAAAACTTGTTTTTTTTTTGTATATTTGATTTTTGTTTTTAATCAAAATGTGCTCAGATGGTATTTTGAATAACTCATTCAGTTAAATGATGCTACGTATTTGAAGCAGGATATTTCCCTGACCCCTTCACAGGACTCAAGACAGAGATGCCTTGTTTACTCAGCCTACCACTCTCTACTCCTCATGGGAAGGAGTGCACAAGCACTGGAACAGAATGGCCACTTCTGCACTGGTGGGTGCAAACTCCGTGCAGGCCCTGTGGTAGCATCCTGGTGGGGATGCCTGTAACTTCTGAAGCCCCAGAAGGCATGTTACAGTGCTCTTTTAGCTCTGCTGTCTGGGGACAGCTTAAGTGTGCAAAGGGCAAGTGTGGGAGCCTTTCATATCTGTACTTACGGTTCCAAGCTCTTGTCCGGCATACAGGAAAAATGTGGTCACACAAATTAATTGAAGGATGGTAAATGCGGGGAATTTTATTGCTGATGAAAGTGGCTCTCAGTGGGAAAAGAAGCTAAAAAAGGGAAAAGAGTAGGTAATCTTCCCCTGAAGTCTGGCCATATCTGGCTGGATTCTTCTCTGAAGCTACACTGTCAAGCTGTCCCTCTGAAGTCAAGCAGTTTCTCTCTGATGTCCGGCCATAGTCTCTACTCCTTTCTGACTGAATCTGGGGTCTTTATAGGTACAGGACTGGGGGCAGAGCAGGCCGTGGGTAGTTTAGGAAAAGGCAACATTCAAGCAGGAAAACAGGGATATAAATTCTCACTTTGGGTCAGGGTTTCAGGCTTTTCAGCTTAAGGATAGGGTTTTCACTGGGGATGCGCCCTTTTCTGCCCAGAATTTCTCTGCCTCCTGTCCCCATCATATTTAACTGCCTTTTCCTTTCAAATCTCTTGTAAAACTGAGCAAAGGTACATGACACTTTGTAGTAAAATCTGTACCAGTGTTGGCAACTAGGATTTCCACCTGTCAGAAACTTATAAGAATTTAGTAATCTCTTTTGTAATGAAGAGTGAATTGAAAGATGATATGAACAACCCACAATATTCCTCATGCAGCAGAAAAGTGTGCTTAAGAAATCAGGGATGTGGGAGAGTCTCTCTTTCATATTCAGCACAATTTTTGTAACAGCAGCTCTCGTCATGGTGTTAGTGCCCTAGACCTCAGAAAACCAAATGGCAAGCGGTGAGAACACTAATATGCAGATCTTCAGGAAAAGCCAAGTCTACATAATCTCCCACAAGCGTAAACAATTCACCAGATGCCAAATTCCAATGATGAAGTATACCCATGGCAATCACTTCTAGCATGTGCTTGGTACAGACAGCATGCCAAGAAAAGTGGAGGCACTTGTATAGCTGAACCCCAATGGCCTTGTTATGCCAGTTACAGAAGGGGATGGGGGTGGAATTGCCAAACCAGTCACCATGTGCCAAAACTAACCCAAAATAAGGCTTAAAGTACTGACATTATCCCTGCAACAGCTACACCTTACTTTCATTATTTGTCTCTCTCTCTCTGAACAGGATTCTAGATCTTTGACAAAGCAAAATGAAACTAAACTGATCCAAACATTTCTTTCTGTCATCAAATCTGCAAAGAAGATCTGAGCAAAAACCAACATATTTTCTGAAGAACCTATTTAAGTTAAATATTAGACAGATATTTTCTCCTTAAATAATTGCAAAGAGAAAAATAATTACACATGAAAAATTAGATATTTAATTAAGAAAATACCAGGAATTGTTTTTAAAAGTTCAATATGTAATTGCAATGAGATTTGAGGAAATATTGCCTATGTTTTTTTATTTCTATTTTGTGAGTTATAACAGTGAATGGAAAGTCACTGTGTGTCCCTGACTAGAGATAATGTTGAGGAGGAAAAGATGCAATGGTTGGGGGATGGGGCTGAATTTTTGGTCTTGGGAAGGAAGTTCTAGGTAGGTGGTCAGTGAGGAAAGTGGGGAATAGAGAGGGAGGAGGAAGGCTACATTAAGGGATGTCAGTACCTCTCCTAAGTACCTCGCTGGGGAGTCGGGAGGAGTGTAAGTGAAAGAAGGGACAAGGCTGGAAGGGTCGGGGAGAGGTGGCGGGGGGAAGCACCAGCCACAAACCATTAAATTGCCAGAAAGTCAGTGTCTGGGCTCCCAGCATCAAGTTGGCTAGCTACTCTCTGCATAAGTACTAAAGCTTTTTTTAAAAAAAATAATTTATTTTTCTTTAAAATTATACGTTAAGTTTCGGGGTACATGTACAGAACGTGCAGGTTTGTTACATAGGTATACAATGCCTTGGTGGTTTGCTGCATCCATCCCCCTGTCGTCATTTACATTAGGTATTTCTCCTAATGTTATCCCACCCCAAACCCCCAACCTTCTGCTATCCCTCCTCTAATCCCCCTCCCCACAGGCCCCAGTGTGTGATGTTCCCCTGGAAACCATCATTCTCAGCAAACTGACACAAAAACAGAAAACCAAACATCGCATGTTCTCACTCATAAGTACTACAGCTTTAATTGCATTTGGGCTCAAAAAGAGCTACTGTAACTTTAGGGTAACTAGAAAAAACTTAGTCGAGAATTCCTGCCATCACTTAAGAATGGAATGATTTAAAATGTCTCTGGGCACAGTGAAGTGTTCCTAGCACTTGAAGTCCCAGAAAAGTGTACAGGGTTTCCCTCCATGTCCTGCCTCACTCCTTTCCAGTCCCTAACCCAACATACACTGGCTCCCTGAGTTTCCTAGGACCATGTTCCTGCATCTGGCTTTGTCTCCTTCAAGCTCTGTGTTCCTCCTTGTGCCTTAATTTCCCTCAATTATCAATAGTATCATTGTCAATTGATTATGTTATCTACCTCACAAGGTCACTGTGAAGATTCAGTGTTCCAGTGCAGTTTCAGTGACCTGAGCAGGTAGAACCAGCCTAAAAAACGAAAAGGGCAGCCAGGCGCCGTGGCTCACACCTGTAATCCCAGCACTTTGGGAGGCAGAGGTGGATTCCTGAGGTCAGGAATTCAATACCAGCCTAACTATCATGGAGAAACCCCCATCTCCACTAAAAATACAAACAAAATTAGCCAGGCGTGGTGGTGCATGCCTGTAATCCCAGCTACTCAGGAGGCTGAGGCAGGAGAATCGCTTGAATCCAAGAGTCAGAGGTTGCTGTGAGCCAAGATCACGCCATCGCACTCCAACCTGGGTAACGAGCAAAACTCCGTCTCAAAATAATAATAATAATAATAAAGAAAAGAAAAAAGAAAGGGACTATGTGTTTATGTGTTGGTAAAGATAAATGGTTTTCAAAATACAGGGAAGTGTCTCAAAGCCAATGAGGAAGATTTGGGCTAAAGTAAATTTCTGTTTTGTGACTTGATTAGCAAATAAAATCCATTTAAGCCCTAGGAATAATCCTCAAAAAAAAAAAAAAAAAAGATGTCTATGCAGGATGCCAAGCTAGGGAAAGATGTTCACCTCACAGAAGTATAGATTAAGGGAATATTAAGGCACAGTGAGGAACACAGTCTCTGGCTTCTGCGCTGGAGTCTTTTTTTTCTTAGCCTCATAGTGTCAAAATGTGGCAAGCCATTTTAAGAGAGGAACAATAGCCAAGCACAGTGGCTCAAACCTATAATCCCTGCACTATGGGAGGTCAAAACAGGTGGATCACCTGAGATCAGGAGTTCAAGGCCACCCTGGCCAACATGGTGAAACCCCAACTCTATTAAAAATACAAAAATTAGCTGGGCATGGTGGCAGGCACCTGTTATCCCAGCTACTCCTGAGGGTGAGACAGGAGAATTGCTTGAACCTGGGAGGCAGGGGTTGCAGTGAGCCGAGATGGCACTATTGCATTCCAGCCTGGGCAACAAGAGTGAAACTGCGTCTCAAGAAAGAAGAAAAAAAAGACAGGGAGAGAGAGAAACATTAATCTGGGCCCCTGAAACCAGATGAAACATAACTGACAATACGGAGTTTGAACTTAGGGTTTATAAACTGGGAGGGCCATAGAATGATAAGCAACAAGTGCAGCTGGTCACAGAGATCTTCATTTAACAACCCCCCCCCGCACTCCCCCCCCCCGCCACCCACACACATACACAAACACCAAGCATTCAAGTTAAACGTTAATCTACTGTTAATGTTTACATGGTAGAAAACATTAGATTTGTGCCAAAAGGCACACTGTAAATTTACCCACATTGAATTCTGACTAGATTTAGAAAATTGATCTGCTTGCCTACTAAGGACAGTTTGTTTCTGCCTGTGGATTCTGGGGGTTTTCCATCATTAACACATTGAGGTTATTCTGTTTGGCAGTGATAGGGAACAAACATTGGCCTATTTCCTTCACGAAAGGAGTTAGTTGCTAGGAAACATTTCAACTTTAATCAGGCATTGCCAATAAACTGCAACCATCTGGAAATATCTTAGAGAAATTCTCTGTTATATTCATTTTACAGAATTAATTAGATCTTAGTCTACTACCTGGTCCACTCAGGCTTCTATAACAAAACACCTTACATAGGGACAGT